GAGACAAGAACAAGCAAATTGACCACTAACATCAGTGCATGCATATGTAGAACAAGTCCAAAAAAAAATTCAAAGAAACAGAAAGATAATGCTCATATATTTGTCCTTCCATAACTTCTCTTGGTTGAGCAAGATAAGTATAGATGCTGGTAATTTATCTGAAATACAAACTTTATGTTTGCATCAAAGCATATACAATTCCAACAGTAAAAATATTTCAGATTAAATGAAAGGGACCGATGCTCAAAATTCTTCCTTCAAAAGGTTCCTCTAAGCTGAAGAAGACAAGAGTAAGCAAATTGTCCCGCTAACAGTAGTGCAAAGTCCATAAACAATTTTGAAGGAAACATAAAAACAATGCTCATGTATATAACTTTCTATAACTTCTCCTGGTTGATCATGTTAAAGTATAGATGCTACTAACTTATCTGTTATGTAAACTTCAAGTTTGCATTAAAACATATGCAATTCAAATGGTAAAAATTCTTCAAATGCAAGGAACCAATGCTGAAATTTATCCCATCAAATTGTTCCTCTAGACTGAAGAAGAGGCAAGAGCAAACAAATCGAACTACTAACATCAGTGCATGCATATATAGAACAAGTTCACAAAAAAATCTTATAGAAATAGAAAAAATAATGCTCATATGTATATCATTCCATAATTTCTCTCGATTGATTATGATATGTATAGATGCTGCCAACTTATTTGTCATCTAAACTTCAAATTTGCATTAAAACATATGTAATTCCAATGATAAAAATTTTCAGATAAAAAGAAGGAACTAATGCTCAAAATCCTCTCACCAAAATGTCCTCTAGACTGAAGAAGAGACAAAAGCAAACAAATTAACTTACTAACATCAGTGCATGCATATATAGAACAAGTCCACAAAAAAATCTAAAAGAAACAAAAAATGATGCCCATATGTATATTCTTCTATAACTTCTCCTGGTTGATCAAGATAAATATAGATGCTGCTAATTTATCTTTCATGTAAACTTTAAGTTTGCATCAAAACATATGTAATTCCAATGTTAAAAATTTTTCAGACTAAGAAAAAAGAATAAATGCTCAAAATTCTCCCTCCAAAATGTTCCCCTAGACTAAAGAAGATGCAAGAGCAAGAAAATTTATTCACTAACATCAGTCCTTGCATATGTTAAACAAGTCCACAAATAATTCTCAAAGAAACATAAAACAATGCTCTTATATATATCTTTCCATAATTTCTCCTGGTTGATCAGGATAAATATAGATGTTGCTAACTTATCTATTATTTAAACTTAAGTTTGCATCAAAACATATGCAATTCAAATATTAAAAATCTTTCACTTAACAAAAACAAGGAACCAGATATATCAAAAACAATTCCAACAAAAATTCTCAGAGAGATAAAAAAACATTACACATATATCTATCATTCCGTAACTTCGCCTGATTGATCTTGAGAGAAATAGATGATGCTAATTTGTCTAACATGTAACCTTCAAATTTGCCTCAAAACATATGTATTTCCAATGTTATAAATGTTAAAAAAAAAAGAAATAGTACTCAAATTTCTTCTCCTAAAATTTTATTCTAGACTGAAGTAAAGACAAGTGCAATCAAATCGATTGCCTAACATCAGAACAAACATATAAAAAACATTCACTTTCTTAATGATTTTATCACTCATTTTTACAACTCCATCACTAAATCTACTACTACTAACATTACATTCAATGTAGCTAGTTTTAGATTTACTCAAAGGTAGATATTTAGACTCTAAATTTGATCTCCATAATTAATGTTTTTCCTGAACTTTTTCTCTAGTTTTATCCACAAAAAAGGATATCCTCATCGAAAAGCATATACCAAGGTATATCCTCATATAAATGTCTATTAAGAGCATCAATAACTAAAGCATAAAGATACAGACTTAAATTTGATCCTTGATGTAATCCAACTGATATAGAAAACTACTTTGTCAATCATTCTTCTATTTGAACAGAAGTAACAACTCTAGCATACATATCTTTAATGACATGAATACATGTCATATGAACAACTTTCTTTTCTAGAACTATGCAAAGAACAATTGAAACTTTATCGAAAGTTTTTTTTCTAAATCAACAAAAGTCATAGTTAGATCCTCCCTAATCTATACTTTTCTATCAAACCTCTCAATAAATGTATAACTTCCGTAGTAGACTTATTCGACACAATCAAAGCTAATTTTGAGAAATCTTTGTTTGACATATTAACTTATGTTCAATTACTTTCTTCCATAATTCTAATGCATGACACATTAACTTAATTTCTCTATAATTTCCAAACTAGCATGCATCCCCTTTATTTTAAAAAATAGGGACCAAAATACTTCCGTGATTCCTTAAACATCTTTTTAGCATTTAAAATCATAAAAAAGTTTATTAAGCCATGAAATTCTCAGATCTCTTAATAATTTCACACTTCTATTTGCATACCATCAGATTCTACTTATTTTTCACCTTTCATTTTCTTTAAAGCCTCAATTTTTTTTAACTATTACTATGGTAAAAATCAAAAATATTATTATTATTAATGATATTAAGACCACCAAAATTAATCATATTTTCAAAATGTTCATTAAAAAGTATATCAAAATATCTCACCCATCTATATTGAATATCTTCATTTAAGAAAAATATGTTTTTATTTTCATTTTTAATACATTTTACTTTAATTTAATCTTTATTTTTATCATATCTTTGTCTGGTTAGTTTATATATATATATTTTATCATCTTTAGTATCTATTCTATTATAAGGATTTGTAAAAATTGTTCTTTTAGCCTCCCTACTTGCCACCTTATATTTTTCTCAATTATCTAAGCTTTTAAGTTTAGATCAATTTTTACAATAAAATTTTTTATATTATATTTTTTTGGCACATTATTATTCCACCTCCAATTATTTTTATTTCTAATTTTTTTTTCTTTTGATTTTTTAAGTACTTCTTTTGTCACATGTTTATAGTGATCATTACTTCATCATAGATACCATTAGCTTCTTCATGACCATCCAAATCTTAAAATTTTGAAATTTACTAAGGATAATTTTTTTTTTGTTTTTTATGTGCCCCATTTAATTTTATGATAATATTTCATTGTATTTATTTTTATCTTTCAACCATTCTTCTTAAAATTAAAAATTAATAATTGATGTTGAGTACTTAAACTTTTTCTTGGAAGGACCTTACAATCTTTACAGTCCCGACGAACTTTTTTTCTTATAAGAAAATAATCAATTTATTTTTTATTAGCTTTATTCTTATAAGTGATAATATTCTCATCTCTTTTCTTAGATAAAATATTAGTAATAAAAAAATCATAAGCTAAAATAAAAAATCAATATAGCTCTATCTTTTTATTAACCACTCCAAGATCGTAGCCATAATAAACATTTCTAAAATTTTTTACCATTCTACTAACATGTCCATTTAAATCTCATCTAATAAAAAATATTTCTTCAAAATGTATCTTTTGCGTTAATTATTTTAAATCAGTGAAATTTTTTTTTGAACATATATATAAACCTACTTGAGAAGCATAAACGCTTATAATATTAAGAATCTTAATATAACAATCTTTAGGACTAATTTTATCTCAAATTCTAGTATTTTTAACAGTTATTATCTTTCAAACTCTTATCTATAATTACACATACACTATTTCTATTATGACTCCTACTTAAAAACTAAAGCTTAAAACATAAGCTACCAATCTCCTTAGTGTTTTCTTCAGCTCTTTTAGTTTCTTGAATGCATAAGATACTTATCTTTCTATGAACCATAATGTCTATTAGTTTCATTAATTTACTTGTGAGTGTTCCTATATTCCAAGATCTTTTCAAAATATTAGTTTCATGGACTAACTCATTTGCCTGCATCAGTCCATAATGTAGGAACTCTTGTTTATTTAATATTACACCTGCATAGCGGCCCATGCATACTTTTCATTATATTCAGACCATACAGCCAGTCGTTTTCAGGGTACGCCTTAGCATTTACATAATGATTTAAATGATTCATGTCATGTATTTTCGACAAAAAATTTTATGTTGGTTGTTGACTAGCTAACACAATCTTTCATTTTTCGCATGTGGGGCTTTGGTCCTGACAATGAGAGTGTTAAAATTTTGCAAGTTGAAGCAAAAAATAAAAAAATAAAAAAATAAAAAATAAAACACAAGAATTGGAAGCAAATCCAATATGGCTCTTAATGTATGGCTCTTAATGAAAGAATTATGAAAGAATTCTCGTGACTGTTCTTGTCTGACTTTTCATTTGCAACGTAAACATTGCTTCTTAAAACTTCCATTTTAAGAAGTCACACCAAAAGTATTGTTATAGGGCATCATTAAGTTTAAACTATTCATTTTTTTTCTTATGTTTGTCATGAAATAAAGTAATCATAATATATATATATATATTTTCATCCCTATATGCTTTTACTTGGTAAATCAAAATTAATGTTACATTTGCTCTTTGAAATCAAACTATAATTGCTACAAAAATAAATAAATAAAGGTAAAAATAACACCTTTTTTTTCCTAAAGAGCTGAAGCCTCTGTTTCTCTCTCAACAGATCACACTTGTACCATTTAAAGTGAGTCTGAGACATTCTGAGGCTTATACGGTGTTGACCATAATTTTTCCTTGTATATATCTGTTAAGTCTTTGGACTTGTATTCAATTTTAGTATAGGAACCAGCTCTGTTATCATTTTTACGTACTGTGATCTTTAGGATTATTTATGCTCTTAAAGCCAAATTGGTTAAAAAATTAGAATGAAGTTATACTTGTAACATTGTTTATGGAAGTGAATATTTGTTTTCCTGATTATTTGTTGCTTTCCAGCTTAATGGAACCCACTAATGGTTTAGCTCCCTTATTACATTTTCCAAAGAGATTGTTGTTGTAACTTTGCTGTTGAAAGTGTACATTTTTTCTCCCGTAATCATTAACTTCTTTCCAGCCCCAATTGGCACCACAAATGGCAGAGGTCCCTCGTTGTACTTTCCAATTTGACTTTGACTTTGAGAGAAGAATTCTTGCTGAAGCTAAGAAAGGGAGCCAGAACTGGAGCAAAATTGCATCTGAAAATCAGCCATCAAAAGCTGGTCCATCAACTTCTATGGTATGATACGTTTATGTGCGCTGCAATGCAGTTTGATCCTTATGCTACGATTTGTTTTCTTTCTTGTGTGTGGTATTCTTTTGTTTATTTTTTTCAATGTGCTTTATTCTCTATAGCTTTGAAAGGATGTTTGGCAAT